CAAGGTAACAAAGCATCTCTCAAACAAGTCAAAGTTTAAATTTATATTACAAAAAATGATAAAAATCATACAAATGCTAGCCTCTTGCCAATGTATGATTTTGTTTTGTTTTGTTTTATTTAGATTCATGCTCTTTCAAGTGATCCAGATGAATCATCCTTCGGTCAACAACCACATTAGATCAACCACAGCCAATCACTCTGAAAGTATTAGGAAACTTGCTATAGGATCTACACCAAGGACAACTGAGAGGATCCTGTCAGCAACTAAAATACACCTGTCCATTGGATTTATGACCTGGGATTCCTTCTGGAAGTTTTTAAGTCTTTTGTCTAATTCCTACATATTTGAACAATTTTGTTACAGGTTTTGTTCAGAGTAACAAATATGGGTCCTATTTGGTTTTTCTACCAATAGCTATCCAGTTCACCAGCGTCATTTTGTAAAGCATCTCTCATCCCCCAGAATATATTTTTGGCAACATGTCAAACATCTGATAGCTATAGTCATAGGAATTTGTCTCAGGGACCTCTATTCTATTTTTGGTCTTCATGCCCACATTGGTGGAATTTTCATGCTCTGATTGCTCTAGAGCTCTGTAGTGTTTTTTTCAGATCAGGTATTTTGGTGTCTTCTGCTTTGAGAGTCTTGCTTACTATCTCTTTCCCTGCTCAGGTTCTCTGATTCTTACAAATTAATTTAAAACTATTTTTTCCAGTTTAGTAAAAATATCATTCATATTTTCATGGGGAGTGCTATGAATTTGTTTATTGCTCTTGAAAGGATGTCTAGTTTTACAATATTAATTCAGCCTATCCAAGAACATGGAATGTTCTTCTTGTATGATTTTCTTCAATTTGTTTCTTCAATATTTTTTGAATTTTCTTGTAGGGCTCTTTTAACTTCTTGCTTAGATAATTTCCAAGAATATATTTTTTCAGATTATTGTGAATGGAATGGTTTTCTAAATTTCTTTGCTTGCTGAATTAACTGTGTAGGCAATCTATCGGTTTATATGTGTTGATCTTGTGTCTTGCTCTTTGATAAACTCATTTATAATCTCTAGAATTATTCTGGTGCAGTTTTTCAATTTGTGAATATGATAATATTATCAGCAATTACAGATAGTTGGCCCTCTCTTTTTTGCTTTTTATATCCTTTGATTTTCTTTTCTTGCCTGATCACTTTGGCTAATGTTTCAAGGATTATATGTAATAATATGGTGACAATGGACACACTTGTACTGTTCATGAATTAAAAAGAAATTCTTCTAGTTTTTCTCCATTTAGTACTATATTGACCTTGGGATTACCATAATAGGCCTTTATGGGGTTGAGAGAAGCTCCTTCAATTACTAGTGAAATTCTAATAAAGTTAGTGAAATTCTATATCAAAATGAAATATAAAAAGGGCAGGGAATATGGCTCAGGGATTTAGCTTCCCTCATTTTGTTCCCTAGTAACAAAGCAATTAAGAATCAAATTATATTAAATAAACCTATGTCCATCCAAAGTAGTGAGAAATATGTAGCATAATATCTACTAAATGAAACCAGCCATACACTTGGGAGTCATTTCCTCCTGAAGAAGTGATTTCCCCAAAAGATATAAGATAATGTAGCTCTCAGATAATCAATCAATTACAATAAGCCCTTTATAAGAGAGAAGATGTAGTTCCTGTTAGGGGTTGACTTGAGTTCCCTGTCCGACAATTCCTATACTGAAATCTCTCCCACAGGACCAGGGTCTCCAGTGGGTAATTCAGCTAAAACGAGGCGTTTTTTGTTTGGACCACTTCACTTGAATCATGCCCATGTCAGAAGAGGAGATATGAACTTCCAATGATCAGCATGGACGCTGACTAAGAGAGAGAATACCAAGCGATCCCAGGACAAGATGGTGCCCATCGGCCAACCACTGAGGGCACCTCAGGAGGACCCAGGCCTGCCCACTCATAGCAAGGACCACAGTAGATGCTTTCCCACTATCTGTGATCCATAATAATAACATGAACTCTCTCCATTACGTTTTCATGTCATTAACTGCACTAGTTGATGACTACATTAAGTGCACCATGCTTCTTTTTGATAATGGAGAGTATTATATTAGAAAGCTCATGACCCTTAATCCATTCCTCATCATCCATGGTGAGGAATGTAAGGGATGAGTTAGTGGCCATGGCTGCCATGGCAAAGCCCCATGCTGCTATATCACAGGGCACAATTTATCTCCCCAGAGACGTGAGGGCTGGCGTCTGTGTACTAATAATCTTCACCTTTGGGCAGAAGGAAGTTCTCTGCATCTTCTGAGCCTTGCAGCAACCAAATTATCTAAGAGTGCAAATTTCCTTTGGATTTTTCCCATTCTCCTGATAAGCAGTGAATACTTGAGTTGATCTTACCATTAGAGACCTTCAGGTTTCAGATCCTTGTTGATTGGAGCTCTCCTCTCTGTTTCCTGAACTCAAAGAACCCTACTCTTCCACCTAGGTTTCAAAATCCCCAAGGACCTGTATTGGCAACTGCCTAGCACTCTCTTCTGACAGTTGTCATCTAGGTTTGGGATGACACACCTCCCATCTCCTATAAGACATTGGTCTTAGGGAGATACATTTCTTTCTTCTCAATCATTTGCAAAAATCTACTGGGTCTATTCAAATATATAGAAATTTGTGGGGTGGGCTGTTCATGAGCATTTTTTCCACATACAGGGACCCTTACTTTAAGTCAGCATCTTCTGATGATAAATCCTTCATCAAAGGAGACCTCTGCAGTCATTAGACATGGACAAGAATCTGTCCAAGTCTGCAAATGGAATCTTCACTCAATGCTCTTTTTTGCTTTGATGCTATATCTGATTTCACCTGTCCTGTGCATAATGATGACTAAGAACTGCAGTCCTGGGAAATGTTGTCCAGATCTCTGATCTTTCCCCTCTCCAGTCTCTGTCTCTGTCTCTGTCTCTGTCTCTCTCTCTCTCTCTCTCCCTAACCCTATACTATCCCTATCCCTATCCCTCTTCTCTAATCTTCTCTTTCTTTCATAATATATATCAACACAGGGACCAGGATGAACTCTCTCTAAACCTGATCATTGAGGACATTTCTGCATCTCACTCCCAATCCCTGCAATACATTCATGCAGCTGAACCACAACAATATTTGAACATTGTCTGATATTATATAGATGAACATTTTTCAGTCCAAACAGGCTCTTCACTCTCATTCATGTAAAAAGAGACATTTTTATTGCATCCTGTAAGTCTCTATCATTACCTATTTACTTTTCTTATTTAAGTACAGTCTTGATACACAGCTTTGTCTCTTCTATTATATACGATCAAAAAATGTTTTTTTTTTCTGCTGCATCATAAAAGAACACTTTCAGTAAGGATTTTCACTGTTGTGACACAAAAAACTTATGAGTACAATATTAGAGGAGGAGAAATTTTATTTGTTGTTCATGGATTCAGAGGTTCAGTCCATGGTGGGCTGACTCCATGGCTCTGGCCCAAAGAGAGACAGAACAAAATGGCGGAACAGCCTGGAGGAGAATAGCAGCTCAGGACAGGGCACCAGGAAGCAGAGAGGGCTCTGCTCACCAGGAACAAGATAAAAATCCCAAAGACACAGCCCAGGGACCACCTGCTCCAGCCACACCCCACCTGCCTGCAGTCTCCACCCAATGAGTCCATTCAAGTAGATTACTCCACTGATTTGGTCACACCTCTCATACCCAATCATTTCCCCTTGAACATCATTCCATTGTCTCACGTTGTCTTTTGGGGTCCCTTCATATATAAAGAATAATACACATTTGTGTGACGTTGCAGCCCATTCCTTCCTCTGTACTCATGATATATTCCACAGTTACACAATCATACTTAACTAAAATGATCTCCTGTCTCTTGTAGACCCACTGCATCAGAATGGATATTTCTGTCAATTGAAATTCTCATAACCTTATCCAAAGACACA